AACATTATTATAAAAACATTATTACAATATATCTTATCACGCTCTTTATCTTCAATATTACTTTGTAGTTGTGTATTATCTTTGTTTAAAAAGTAACGACAGAAGTATCATTGTTTGAATCCAATTAGTGTTTTGACCGAAAGAATGAGGACTATTTTAAACATTATATATCTTTGTTTGCATTGATCGTAATAAATTGATTAAGAATAATCTGTAAACAGGAACCCGAATCTACAAACCACCTCTAACAAAAACATACAAATTATTTTTTAAAAATAAGTAAATAAAAGGGGGTACGTTCTCAATCTATACACCTTGAATACAGTACCTTTGAACTCTGAACAGCCAGGACCCGCTGACCTGTTCTTACGTTGTGAACTTTGCCCACAAATACGCCCTTCTTTTTTTATTCGCCACTTGATGAATTCCAAGGCGAGAGGCAATGAATGAAGTACCTTGGTTACACACTGGGGAAAAAATTTACCCTTTTGGGAGTGCATTCGGAGGGGGTGGGGTGGGGGAGGGCAGTGTAACCCTACCCTCTCGACCCCAAACAAAACACAGGTTTTTATTTGGTTTGTCATCAACATACAACATTGTTTTTTTGTAGTATATATAACGAATATCATTCCTGCATAGATATTCCGGTCAAAGAAAACACTTTATACATCCATCATTACAGATATTCATATACCCTAGGAATTCACGTACCTTAAAATAACATAATAAATAACTTAAAAAGAATGAAGTGTTAAAATGTCAATAAATATTAGTTTACAAGAAGAATTCCCCAGATATATGATAACAGCCTACATATGTACATACAAACGTTATCAGTTCTCTTGTTTCCCACAGAATTAGTAAATGATATGTCAATAGTCCTTGGTTGCATAAACTACTACGTAATTAAATTAAATTGATGAAGATTAATGAGTCATGGAAGGAGATTCCGCCTGTTATCAACGAGCCAGAAAGGGACTGAATTGTTTTTTGTTTTGTTTTGCATTTCGGGTATGTTCATGGTACTATTTATTTTTGTATTGTGTTTTCATCGTATATATGTATGTGTGTGTGTATTTGTGTGTATTTGTGTGTGTGTGTGTGTGTGTGTGTGTGTGTGTGTGTGTGTGTGTGTGTGTGTGTGTGTGTGTGTGTGTGTGTGTGTGTGTGTCTGTGTGTGTGTGTGTGCGTGTGCGTGTGTGTGTGTGTGTGCGTGTGTGTGTGTGTGTGTGTGTGTGATTATTTATCATTAAAGCCAATCTGTTTAATTACGTAAATTCATTGTATTTTCTATTAATTCACCTGATGGTTTACCCTGATCATAAAACAAAAAATATAATGAAAAGATAATAAAAAAAAAGAACCAAAAGAAAACAAAGAAAAAGAGACAGTTCAAGCGAGAAAAAAACGAAAATAAGAAGCAGGAAGAAAGAAACAATAATAATAATAATAATAACAATGATAATAATAAAAATAAAAATCCCTTGGCATACGACATGTAATTTGGTTTTCGTTTGGGAATCTCCTCCTCATGACCACATGAAAGTAGCAAAACAGCACAACTAAATGTACAACTATAGATACTGCAACTGAGAACAGACTGTACAGCATAACTAAAAAGTACTCCTATGAATACCGCAGCTGACAACAAACTGTACAGTTAACCTAACAAAATAGATTAAAGCATTAGCGATGTGAAATAAAAACTCCAGTTTGTACATTTGTCTTCTTTTTTTTGTGTGTGTGATCAACAAAAATATATAGTCTACTTGTCGTGATATTTTTGTATATTTTTGACACCATATTAGCACCTTCGTTGTGTGATTGTGTCTCTATTTCGACAGCGCTGTGCACACGCGACCTCCTTGTTTATATTGACATCGATTATACTCTCTGCTTCATCACATTGTTCACAGAGTATGTTTGTCAATACACGTATCAGTGATTTCTATTTTTAGTATCATCATTATCTTTCGTAATCCTATTTATCAGAGGATATAATGGACACTATAACAATAGTCGATAGTCTGCGAGATCGACTGTATTTTCGTCAGGCAAACACACTGTCTCGCACGCCCAGCTGTCTCGTTCACTTGGCACATGGATTAATACTCAGCAGGCTCTTCCCACTGACGAATGGGTCAGCGTAGACGACCTTTGACCTTCCTCGCCACACAGCAACGTCGCAGGAGACGCGGAGGAGCTTCGTCTTCGTCTGCGCCTTCGTCTAGAACCAGTAGAGATCCTTGGCACCTTCCTGGGGAACTCCGGTCTCTAGTCCTGAAGGATTGAAAGGATATTTTGGTATTAGTGATGGGGATTTTTTTTTTTTTTAAGTTATACGGTTATGGTTTATTGACAATTTGATTAAAAAAATCACGAATTATATACGGAAACACATGTATAATAAGAAGATAAACTACTCGGTGGATGGAAAGATTGATATGTGGAGAGAGAGAGAGAGAGAGAGAGAGAGAGAGAGAGAGAGAGAGAGAGAGAGAGAGAGAGAGAGAGAGAGAGAGAGAGAGAGAGAAGAGAAGAGCAACAGAGAGGAAAAAAAAAGGCAGGACCTGTCCCGAGTCTGTCCTTACCTGGGACGTTCGGGTAGTGAGGTGCCGAATAATTGGTGTCGAGGCCATGCGCCAGTTCCGGATTACTGAAGGCTTCGTGGTAGCGGGCGCCCCAACTGTCAGGTTTCGCCATAGGCATCTGGAATGAATGAATGGAATCGTGAACATTTTATCACAGAATATCAAAATAATTTAAGATACTTTTTTCATTCGCTTGTGTACTATTTTCATTACTATTTCATGCTATCCATATACAGATTTAAAATACTTCTTATATACGTAATTATAACTTCATACTAAAGACAATGAATATCTCTTTCACTTTCACTTAATTTATAATTACATAAATACAAAATTGTATTTACGTCAAAATCCAAAAATAACGACCCCGAAAAAAATCAAGAATAACTCGTATTCTAGACTATAAATCTCTCTCTCTCTCTCTCTCTCATTCTCACTCTCTCCCTCTCTTTCTCTCTCTCTCTCTCTCTCATTCTCACTCGCTTTCTGTCCCTCTCCCTCTCTTTCTCCCCCCCCCCTCTCTCTCTCTCTCACTCTCATTCTCTCTCTCTCTCTCATTCTCACTCGCTTTCTATCCCTCTCCCTCTCTTTCTTCCCCCCCCCTCTCTCTCTCTCTCTCTCACACTCACCCTCACTCCTCTCCTCCCTCCCTCTCCCTCTCTCACCCTCTCCCTCCCACTCTCCCTCTACCCCTCTCTCCCTCTCTCTCACCTGTGAAGTGACGGCCGATACCCCGGGCAACCTGGCTAAATGCGGCTGGAAGGAGAGCGAAGAATACTGATGGTAGGGCCTCGACGACGAAGGAACGGATGACATGGCAGCTTGATAGACATCATGAGCCACGCTGCGGTGCCCATAAGCCTGCAATGTCATGCGAATGTTTATACTTTCACTTCGTCCTTTTGTTTTGTTTTTGTTTTATTGTTATTATTTTTGTTATTATTGTTATTATTGTTATTGTTATTGTTGTTGTTATTATTATTATTATTATTATTATTGTTATTATTATTATTATTATTATTATTATTATCATTACTAGTTTTTAGTTGTATTATTATCTTTATTTATTTTTGTTTTTATTATTATATCTATTTATTATTATTATTATTATTATTATTATTATTATTATTATTATCATTATTATTATTTCTATTATCTTTATTTATTTTATTATTATTTTCATTTCTCTTTATTTTTATTATTATCTTTAATCTTTTTTATTTTTTATTTCATTTCTTTTATTCATTTTTTATTTATTTATTTATTTATTTTTTTAAAACAGGCTAAGTGTGAATAGAGAAAGTATAGAGAGGTTCGGTGACTGAAAAGGGAGGGGGGGATAGGTGGTGGGGAGGTGGAGGGAGGGAGGGGGGGAGAGGAGGTGGGTGGATGGTGGGGAGATGGAGGGAGGGAGGGGGGAGGGGGGAAGAGGATGGTGGGGAGGTGGAGGGAGGGAAGGGGGGGAGAGGAGGTGGGTGGATGGTGGGGAGGTGGAGGGAGGGAGGGGGGGGGGGAGAGGAGGTAGGTGGATGGTGGGGAGATGGAGGGAGGGAGGGAGGGAAAGAGGATGGTGAGGAGGTGGAGGGAGGAAGTAGGGAGAAGAGGATGGTGGGGAGGTGGAGGGAGGGAGGAAGGGGAAGAGGAGGTGGGAGGATGGAGGGAAGGAGGAAGTGGGAGGAAGAAGATGTTGGGGAGGTGGAAAGAGGGGGGAATAAGGATGGGGAATTAGGGGGAGGTGGGAGAACGAAGATGGAAGAGAAGAAGAAGAAGAGGGGAGGAAAAATAGAGAAGTTGAAGAAGAGGGGATGGTAGTGAGAAGGGGTGGGTGGGGGAGGGGGGGAAAGGAGAAGAAAGGATGATTGAGAAGAAGAAGCAGAGAGGGAAGAAAAGAGAGAGAGAGAGAGAGAGAGAGAGAGAGAGAGAGAGAGAGAGAGAGAGAGAGAGAGAGAGAGAGAGAGAGAGAGAGAGAGAGAGGAAGAAGAAGACAGGAAAGAAAGAAAAAGAAATGAAAAGAAAAGAAAAATCAAGAAAAAAGCAGAATGAATAAAAAGAAGAAGAAATAAAAAGAAAAGTCTGAAAAAACAAGTAGAATGAATAAAAAAAACGAAAAGAAAAAAAAGAAAAAAGAAAAAAAAAACTAGAATGAATAAAAAAAAAGGTCAGTTTCATTAATTCCAACGACACTTACCTGCGAGGATAAAGAGTAGGCCGCCCACGGATCTGGCGCGGGTGCCTGGAGCGAGTGGAGGCCGCTGTGGTAAGGGTCGTACAAATCTGCCGCCGACGCCCCCGTCAGATGCCCAGCCAGGCTCGGGGGGCGCGAGGAGGAAGCTGACGACGTCGACGGAACCTGGTAATTACTGTTCCAGAACGACGGAGGGAAGTTGCGAGACGACATCGGCGACGAAG